CTAATTAACAAGCTTTACTAACCTATCATTGTTATGAATAATTAATGTATTGTTATAAATTCCAGTGGCACTAATCATGTTTTGTGTTTCTATGAAAACTCACGTGTTAAAGAGTGGCTTGACCTGTCATTGAATGGAATTTAAACTTTAATCTTTTAAAGAAATATAAACTTTTCTAATCATCGATCCATTGTATTTCATTTTGTGCCAGGCAAACAAGGGTCGATACTATGTCTTCGATTGAAGTTTACAAGCATGCGTTGGTTCTTATGAATTCTCTTTTAATCCTGTAACTCATATTCTTAAGAATGCGCTTGGAATACACACAGAGCCCATCAAAATATTTTCTTTTACATAAGAGACCGGTCACGTTTTTAGTTTTCTGAAAATTAAAGATCAAACTTCACCCAACAGAAATCCTAAGACCATTTTTTATGAAACTAATTCTATGGAGTCACGAAACTAATTACTACTTGAACATAGCTTTGTCTGAGTTTAATACCATTTTCATCGATCCTATGCGCCAGTTGACTATATACCTTGACCTAGTTATGGATACTACAAAATTTTAGGTCAGCTCAGGTGAGGTTGACAAGTTAATACAGGTATTCACAGGGTACATTAATTATAAATATTTGAAAGAGACATGCCGGCCACTCGTCATGATTTGCACTGTAGCGGGGATATGAGGAGTGGAGTTATATTAGTGAAATTTGAGTTCTATATCCTGTTTCCAAAGGCCTTATTGTAAACTTGCTTTACGATGATTTAAGTTCTGTCCTGGTTAGGTTATTATTCGACCTCTAGCTCTGATTTTAAATTCGAATTGACTGGCATTCCAGATTTCTAGATTTAACTTAATTTTAGGTGTAGTTTATTATACGGACCATGGTTGTAGGAAATTTGACAAGAGGGTGTATCTGAAACATAAAAACCGCTATTAATATACGATGAAAGTTTCAATTTGCATCCAAAATCTTGATTTAATTTGTGTTTGGTTAGATTGATAGTTGACACTATCACTAAAGATAGCTTGCCACGCAAGGTAACATACGCCACTACCAGCTGTCAGAAGTGATAACAAAGTCTGTAGTGGTTTAATATGTGAAACCAGTCACCCATTACTAATTTCAAGCTTTAATGAGATCTCATACCAAAAATATGATTTCTCATACATAAAAAAAGATGTAGTCTCTATCATGCCTACATGCCAAATTAGACGCATTGAACTAATTCAAGGGTAAGAACTCCAAAACACTTCATCCGATTGTTACCAGACTTGAGAACTTGTCAATATTTACATGCATACCACGGTTCATCGTAATCAGTTAAACCATGTAGCCTCTATTGTGCCTACAAGCCAAATTAGACGCATTGATTTAATTCAAGGGCAATAAATACAAAATCATTCATCCAATTGTTACCATATATGAACTTGAGATCTCATCAATATATACATGCATACAAAGTTTCATCGAGATCAGATAAAAATTGCATAGTTTATCGTACAAACAAGCCAAATTTAACACGTCAAGGGCAATAACTCACAAACTTTGCATCCGATTATCCGATCATCTCATCAATATATACATTCGTACTAAGATCTCATCAAGATCAGATAAAAGCTGTAGCCTCTATTGAGCATACAACAAATGTGGACCGATTTTACTAAATGCACCCTGTATCATGACTACAAGCCAAATTTGAAGCGTTTTTACTGAGTCAAAGGCAGTAACTCCGAAAACCTTCATCCAATTATTACCAATTTCGAACTTGACCGTGATCTCATCAATATAATTATACATGCATACTAAGTTTCATCAAGATTGGATAAAAATTGCATCGTTTATCGTACAAACAAGCCAAATTTAACACGTCAATGGCAATAACTCTTAAACTTTTCATCCGATTATTACCAATTTCGAACTTGACTGTCATCTCATCAATATATACATTCTCATCAAGATCAGATAAAAGCTGTAGCCTCTATTGAGCATACAACAAATGTGGACCGACCGACGGGCGGACGGACGGACAGGGGAGACGGCAATATACGTCCACATTTCCATGTGGGCGTATGAAAAGGCTGAATCAGCTATAACTCATTATGATAAGAAGAAGAGGACAGATGGTGGATTCCTTAAGTAGGAATACAGTCTATAAATATTGTACCTGAAACATTACAATATGATATACATTGTTTGCTTTTATGAATCATCACAAAAACCTATTATAACAATCGGTCAGATTGGCCTTTACAATGTGACATGAAGTGTTTTATCAGTTAACTATCAGTTGAAATATAACTTATTAACCAAGGTGTGCTTTGTAGCAATCACTATCAAATTAGTCAATGTTTCCTTAATAACATCGGTCACCTTGAAATATGATGTAAAATATACATGCACCAAAATTTGTTTTTATTCATCTAGCATACAAGATGCCACTCTACACCACGGGAAACGCAAACCTCACCCAGCTATTAATGATGACTCATAGAGCAATTTGCGTTGATTGTGGAGAACAAATCAGAGTTCGCTTGTCTCTTCAGACAAATACCAATCTGATGTTGGGTTTCTCTTTCAGTGAGTCCATATAAATAATGATTTGAATTTCTTAATAAACAAAAGAAACGTTTTCTATTACTATAGTATTTTTCGAATATAATCTCTTATCTGCAAGATCACTGACTGTTCTGGTCACGTTTCTGTACATAAATAAACAACTTCTACTCATGGATTTACATTTCTCACGTGGTAACGGCATTTTATTTTGGTGTAAGATCAAATTTTATTCGGCATTAACCTTCTGTATGCAGAATTTCAGCGTTTATGCTTCTACTGTTACCAACATGCAGTGTTTCTGATGATTTTGACCTTCATTGTTCAAGTCTTTTATATAAACGATGTATTTTATTTAAGTAAGCGTGACTTAAATTTCCACTCTGAGACCAGCTGCCATACAGGATCGTAGTAAATTATTTTAGTTAATTAAAAAGATAAACGTAAATTAACCACATTCTTCAGATGCGTAGTTAACTTAACATTGGTAAAAAAATTATTTAACAAGAAGGATTCCAAGAATATTTTTTAAGAACACAGTTTCTGGTTTCATCGTTTTTGAAAATGTCTACTGAAAGGTTTCTACCGGCCAATCTTATACCTGTGTATCTTAAAGCGAAATATATATATACATAAGAACGATAAATTAAATTGCGTTTTAAAGTTCAATACAGACGTGACGGTGTCGGGTCGTCGCCTTCAATTGACGATCTGGATCAACGATTAAGATGTATTGAATTGGGTCGTTTTGTCACCGACACAGTGATGTTTATGACTCTGACTTACTTTCGATAATCGTGCCCCGCAGCTTTTTCCCAGGTCCCTTCTTCTGAATGACGTAAGTAAACCAGGTCAAAAGAGAACATATCAAACATTTACCTCACAATAATATGAATCTTATGTTAGAACACAATTTGTAAACTTCATTTCCTTACGAACTTGACAATGTAGTCTGGATACCTATTGCTCGTAACTACTTGTACCACAGAGGGTTTATTTCCAGTTTCACCTTTGCAGCGAATATTAAAGAAATTATCAAAATTGTCAAATTAAGCAAACTATTTGATTAATTAGTGTTTCTAATAAATTATTATGTATTCTTAATCATATAATTATGTCCTTATTGCATATAATTAAGAGTTTTAGCCAATCATAAATGTCCTTGTAGTCTGGATAAACAAAAAAAGACTTTGACTGTAATTACACTTTCTATTCATATAAGTATTAGCATTTTCATTTTCATAAATGAAAATAAGGGGTAACTATTTAGTATTTAAGATCTCGTTCCTATTAATAAAAGGCTACAAACATATTTCCCGGACTTCCTGTAACAAATTCAAAGTAACTTATTTTCAAAATACCCCAAGAAGTTCTAAACAATTTAAAGAATACTTCATTTGACCTGAATCAGTATCAAGGATTAAGAAAAAATGAAAAGTATTTACAATGTGTCACTAGAAGATAATCCATTAGTTAAATGTCTTATTTCAGAGACACGAGACACATTGATAAATGAGATTTCTTACAAATCGAAATACCACTTTCTAAATCTATTCAAAATATCTTTAATGAGCGGGTATTGTTGTGGGATTGACTGTCCTGTTTAACATTCCAAGTTTCAGGAAGTGTTTGGATTTATACCGACCATCACAATCCATCAATTATAGGATAATATGAGATTCTAGCTTATTCATATTCACCCTTTACATGTCCACAGAGAGCTATGTCTTATTTACATTGTATGGGGCCATGAATTATAGATCTATACGTAAAATGATATAGATATGCACATGACGGTCTGATCTGAAAAATGCCTCATTACAAATTCAGGTAATACATTCAAAAACTTTCCAACTTCCGGTGTCAACCGCTGGTGCCGGTTCTCTTGTAATGCTTATGGGTATTTTCATCGAGTAAAAAACAATTTGCAATCGGATCAGTGTTTCAAAGCAATACGATTTGAATGTGCATTTTCTAACATAATCCATTAATCTTGTAATCTTGGAGAGAAAAACACACCTATAGAGAACGTGCCTTTCTTCTGATTATGTTCAGATTAATAAGCGCTAAGCTATGCACGAGATTGTTAAAAAATTCATGTGTATCAAGAATGATGCCCAATATTAATTTAAAAAGAAATTTCACACCGAATTATTGATGTACTGGTTACTACCTTGACAAACCTATAGACAAACCAATGGATACGACAAGTCGTAATTTATATTATTGAAAATAACAAAATCTAATTTGTGGAAGACACGAAACAGCTTACATACTTATAAATACAATTATGTTTTAATCTTAAAATACCACGAAAGTAATTCCACAATTAAAAACAGTGTAATTTATTATTGAGGTAGAGAACACTATCGTTCACTGCTATTGAGTCAGATATCTGCACAATAGGTGTAAGCGAGAAATAAAGCCTTGCATTCCAAGATGCGACACCATAAAAGAGAAATTTTGGAAGGTTTAGACAGAATAGTTGCTTTCTTGGAAAAGGTAAGTGGTTGGACACATGTTGGAAATTGGAGAAAAGTTGCAAAATAAATGTCAACGTGGAAATAAATGGACAGAAGCCAAAAGCCTATACGCTATATATCAAAAACGTTATGACAGTCTTAAAGGGACATGACCAGAAATGCGATTTTTTTTTAGCTTAGTCTGTCAATAATAGCTCACCGTCAAAATTTGAGCCATGATTGTGTGTCCAGAATTATATGCTTTTAAAAGTTAAAAAGACGAGTCGTCTTTTCTTGAGACACTGCCATATGTAAAAAAAAACATCTGTAGAGATAGGAACAAAAATTTCTAGTTTGAGATAATTCTGAAGGAATTTTGCATGCACACATAAAAAAAAACATTTCCTTTTCCTGATTTACAATTATAATGTAAATTAGGCCCATTTTTTGGCTATTTATCAGAATTATATTTACGAGTACATCACGATCATTGTTGTTTTGTATGTTGTTGGATTCTGTGGGTGGACTTAGACTAATGCATTGGAGTTATCACCTTCATTCCTCGTTTCAGGATGAAGATAGGTACGCCTTAATGAAAGATGCAATTCTTTCCCAATCTAATTATATGAAGGATGCAATACAAGGTTATGGCATTGACCTCCATATACTGGGACTACGAGAATCAGCGAAAGAATTAGATATTCCTGTGCCATCTTTATTTACTGATGATGGTTACAAGACATTTAATTATTTTAAGCTGTCCACAAGTCAGGTAAGAAACATACGCTCACCTTATACTAACACTTTGTCAATTCTACAAGGACTATAGCTTAATTTAAGACAAGCATAGAAGCCGAATACGGGTGTTGAAACATCATTGTTAAGACGCATTGGGGAGGGATATGTCGCGGCAGAAAATGGTGTAACTCTCAACAGTTCATAACAATATTTCCAATTGTAGCTACACTACACACGACCACGGCAAACTTCATTTATTCCACCCTAAGCCTTTTTTTTTCTTGCAGGTAGCAACAAGGAATATGATAGGTGTTTGCTATGGTGCTGTTGTTCCAGATATATTTAAGATTCAAATCAACTCCCCAAAATGGTGCATCTGTCCCTTAAATATCGAGAAAGCATCATTCATCTATTTAATCTTGCCAATTATTAAAACTGTAGCCCTGTCCAATTTGATTTAGACAAGGGCAATAAATCAACATCCATATATTCAATAATAGTCAAATGAATGAGATCACATCTTTCACATCATTGGCATGTTTGACCTAGTCTAGAGCAATATATACAGACTGTTCACCTGTCGTCAAAATTCATAGTCATTGAAAAAATACAAAACGGAGTGGATGGATACAGCATTGAAATATCAGATTTGTTTGAGTTTTTACTTGTGCTGCTCACAGTCATGCCTTCACTCGTATTATTGCTCTGCAGTTCTCTCAATGGTCCGAGTTCACAAACTCACCACTTGATTTATTTGGGCTTTTTGGCTTAAACCTTAGAATTTGCTTCCATGAAAATCAAGAAAGAGCCAGAGCTGGACTATCTTGCTCGATAATCAGCAAATGCTACTGCCTCATATACACAAACCCCGCTTTTGGAAAAGCATTTGCTGACAGATTCGCAAGCTCCTAAATAGCAGCTTGACATTGAATTTCAGGATTTTTCTAATGGTATCCCCATGTTGATGCATCTTAGGCACCATATTAAGCGGTCGATGAGCGTATAAACCATACGATACAGCTGGAACTTATGACAGACTTTTTAAATTAAGTAAAGGGATTGTTGCATGGCTGTCTGACTCATCTCTCCGGAAAATACTGAACAGACGGTATCCCGTTTTTATTCAGATAGCAATAGAAAGAAAGAATGTACCATTTGATTATATATAGGATACTGATACTGAGAAATTACTTTTCCTGCAGCATTTTCTATATGAATAACGAATACAGTTTGCAAATGCATGATCCCGTTAAATGTTATGATATTACCTCTGGCGTAAATAATGTTACTTTTATGCTTCATTAAATATCGACAATTCAAGAATACTTCTGTTTTACGGCTCAGCCTATGCATTTTATTTTTAAACAAAATTGATTTTAACTTGGATAATTAAATATATGACTTAGGGAAAGCATAACCAGCCTCTCATCTTCTATTCTTTACAATAAGCTTCCAGACAGAATTCTGTGTTGTGCTTGAGCTTACAATAATTATTAAACGTGATACAGGATTTTTGTAATGCTAAATTAGCGATTTCGCTACTGACAATACACTGTTCATATAATTGGAAACTCAGCAATTAATGGGGATGGGGAGGTTGGAAATATTGCTATTACCTACCGCTTGGGGACCCAATGTACAAATTAAAGATAAGGTCTGATTTAATCACTCTAACTATCTTGTATTCTTGTGCACTAAAGCTACCCCGAAGGAATGGTTGTTAATTTGTTGTTTATGTCACATCTCACCTTTCTTGTTAGATTAGTACGTTAGTTCGTTAGTAACTGTTACTCACAAGTATCGACAATACAAACAAATACTGCCAAGGTATTCTGATTGACGTCAGATAAATCAAACTCGAACCTTCCTCACTCCTCGCACCCCTATAGCGACTGCCGTCTGTTTACATTTATTTACGTTTATTTTTGTTTACAATTCAGGTTTGCACGAGGATACCTGAATTTCTATAATCCGAAAACTCCGTGACCTTTTCAAGAAATAATGTTACCAAGCTTTATTGAGTAGCCATCCATGAGCATTCTATGCCACTAGCCAAAGTTGAAGTGAAGTTGGTTGCTTTCTTTGATCAAGCTTACGTGTCTCTTATTATTTTCAAGTCTTACAACACACTCCTGATTTTGAAGACGTTTTAGTTTCATCTTTTGGAATCCGAAGAGCAGGTAACTGGCAATAATATGTACAGAATGAAGAAGTTGATGAGCTAGAAGTGAAACAGTGATTAAGTATGAAAGGATGAATGCTGCTGAAATGTCGACTCGGGTGTTGATAAGTTCTGCTGAAAATCAAACTCATTCATACTTACGCAATACAGATTTAATTGTCAGAAGTCTTTTGAACAAGCGGCCGTCTTCATTAGCCCACATGGTAGGACGTAAAACTCCATTCATTTCATTTGAACAAGCGACTTTATATACACCCACATTATAACGTAGAAGTGTATTATTGTTGTCACCCCGGCCCTGTATAAGCAATAGCAATAATTTGCTCTTTAGCTTGATGACCTTTCCGACGAGTTCGATTTTCATGATCCTCAATGAATGGTTTATAAGTAACTGCTAAAATACGCAAAACAAAAAAGGTCTTTAAGATTTTGAGTTTTTTTAAACTTGGTAACCTCATGTATAAGATCTCGATTTGGTTTGATTTTCTCGATTTTCGATACATTATTCATCTATTGGTTTCTTTTTAAAAAATATTTGTCAAAAATATCACGGACGCGATACAAAATTACTGTTTTGATTAGAAATTGAAGTAACGTGGTATGGTTGTAAGGTAAAATGAGGAGATCTTGAACAAGTTCAATTTCCACAATTTTTTAGTTGTTATTGACCAGGACAAAATCATGTCATATTGGCTTGAGAATGCGATAGACTTGGATTTTGATGAAACTTGGTGTGCATATAAAGTGGCTTTGATTTGATGAAGAGGTTCTATTTAAACGCTTTCTTATGGAATATTTGGGGTTACTAATCGCTCAGGATAATGAACAATCGGAATGGTTTAGACATACTTTTAGAAAGGGTTCAAGCTGTCACGAAATTAGATTCTTTGTCCGATCTGGAAAAAATTACCGAATTTAAGAGTTATTATTTGTAATTGCAGTGGTTTGTAAATGTGGGAATTTAAATGATGCAAAGTGGAAAAGGAATTTTGAATTGAGATGCTGAAAACGTATGTTTTACTTACCCTATGTCTACAATTTGAAATGTCAAGACCCTCTAACACTTCGGACTATGGTAATATCTATTATCCTAAAAACGTGTGCTATTTTAAGTTAATTTAAACTATTTATAGATGAATATGATTTAGACAGGAAATAACTGAGATAATCACGGATCTGAGATAGAATGTTTGTATTGGTGACTAGTCGTTAGGGGCGAGTATTGTTTACTCTAATAAATACTTCATAACAAATTAATGCTGACTTTAGTCTGCCACATACCAGGATTCATACAGCTATCGGGTTGGCGGGGCATTCTGACATATTCCGAGACATTGTGAATTGTATAACCTAAATGGATTGAAGACGACTTTTGTTATCACCTTACAAAACATTGCTTGCAGACAGTCTTTACTGGCAATTGTCGCATCTTGTCAATAGGTTTTCATTTCGAAACAGAAATGTCAGATTGATGTTGTTGCTATGTTTCGCCTTCATTCCAACCAAAGATGGTTTGGAATCTCGATAGTCCACTTCGCACCTACCATCAGAAAGTTGTATTACTGTAAAGAATTTCGTAAAACGGAGGAAATCTAAAGATAGCGAAACAAAACTAAACTTAAGTCCCTATTTCCTACACATAATGTCTTCCAACATTCATTAAATTTGATTATCCGGTGAAAATTTCTTAGACGGCATTTGACCCACTTATTTTGACCCTATTATATTTATTTCAAAGCATTTTCCTGTCCGACATATATCTAAAGAATTTTAATTCTTATATACATCCGGCGAATTTTCGGGGGAGGCGTTCCACCCTCTATATCTTGCATTATGCATCCTAATTGGTATTATTTTCGCAGGCAAAATTATGTCAGAGTACTTGCAGTTACCCATATAAACGTGTTGGACCATCAAACTATATTTAATAAACTAAATTTGGCAAAAAAATGCCAAACTGACTTGTATGTTTCATAGAAAGTACAGTTTAATGAAATTTGTATGACTTCATCCATCATTTGCTTCTTTGAAAATGAAGAAAAAGCAAAAGCTAGATATTAAATATCTTGCTTAAGTATCAGCAAATTTTAGTTCTTCCATAGTTATAAACTCTGTATTTTCCTTAGTCGAAGAAGCATTTACTGCCAGATTTGCAAGCTCCTCAATATCAGTTTGGCATTAAAATTTCACATCTATTTCGATTGTTATCCCCGTGTTCATGTATCTCATTGAACATCCCAGGGCTTTCAAGAAACGTATAAACCATGATGAGGTACCAGCTTGAACTGATCGCAGACAGTTTAAATTAAAAAAAAAAAGAGAATGACATATTAAGGCTGACTGAAAACTTTCTGCGAGAAAATATTGAACAGAGTAATGAGTATCCCAGTCCAGTACAACGCATTGAAATATCATCGAAGTATCTGCTGCATATTTTTTGAGATTTGTTTTCTCTGTGTTGGTCGCAATTATGTGGTTCACATGTAGTAGGATCTTTCCATGGCTTACAGTACTTTGCGAAATCTGCACTTTGCGAAACGAAACGAAATATCAGCACTTTGCGAAATATTTATTTCGCAATTCAGTACTTTGCGAAATATATATTTCGCAAAGTGCAGTAATCAACACTTTGCGAAATCAGCACTTTGCGAAATGTTTATTTTGCAGAGTGCAGAAATCAGATGAGAGTTAAAGATTAAAACGATATGTATGAAGGTGTTTACCTTCAAGTTCATGTAGTCTTTCAGTAGCCTTTCGTCATCATCTTTGTAGTGAAATACTAATATATCGGTGTCGAATAACCGTTTCATCCACTCTATCTAGCAAGTTTCCCGGTGATTTCAATCTGATGTATTTGCCCCCGTTTTGCATTGTCGTGTCCCTCCAAAAATGTCAATTCATTTCACTGAGTGAAGGGCCATCTTTGTTATAAAACAAATAGTTCTGAGCTTTAAATTCGACAGGAAATCACATCTTATTCTCAAAATTTTCTAAGCGACATACCTGTGACTCTATACAAGTAATCTAGAACCTTAACTTTGCCGGGAAATGTCAGAAAATTGTGTTTCCAGGCGTCTTATACTCAGATCCTACACAAAAAATCTTAAATTCTGTGGGAAATGTCAGGAATATGCGTTTCCGGGCGTCTAATTCTAAAAATTTTCTTCTTTAAAAAGCGACACCCCCTCAAGGATTTGTGCCCCTTATCGTGTGTTCTAGAAAGATTGAAAATACTCTGCTAAGGGGTCATTAACAAACTACGTAATGGGAGGGGAGGGT